TTCTAGATTGTTACCTACATTTGTACTTTAAACTAAGACTTTTTTTTTTAAAAAAAAAACAATATTCACCTACCTATTCTTACATTCCAGTGCTTTCAGCTAAGGAATTTTTTCTTAATGAATTGATAGTTGAATTGTTTTTCACCACAGAAATCCCACTGATGAGCCCTAAAATTGTTGCTATTATTTTTCTCTCTTTTAGAGATCATAATGAATTTTAAGATGAAATCGTCTCTCTTCTTTAGTCTAGTGTTCTGGTGTGTTTTCCAGTTCAAGTAATGGCCTTCGTCATGTGCACACTCCTACACACACACAACCCCTTCTCCTCCCTTTCTCCTCCTCCTGCTCTGAGATAGTCTGTTTTTCCAATATGTTCTGTCTTTGACCATCACAGCATTGCATAGTCAGAAGGGATTTGTTCTTAACTGCTCAGATCCCTTGCTCTCAGAATTTATTGGTGAGGTGTGGGTGTGTTTGTTGTTTTTTTTTTTGTGTGTGTGTGTATTTTGTTGCTTTTTTAGTTCACCTTCTGAGAGCTTTTAATTTTGATGCTTTTGCTCCTTTTTTTTTAAAACTTGTAGAGAGCCTATTTGCTCTGTTCAAAGAACAAATACCTTGTTTGTCATTTTTTGTGTCCTTTGTTTTAGTAGTGAGTTTTGTTTTTTTTTTTTATAGCTCCCTTTATATGCTGTTATCTGGGATACTTTGTATTAGGGTGAATTTTCATGAATGTTTGTGCATTTTGTTACTTTTTGATTTCTGAAACAGGGTCTACCTACATGGCACAGGCTAGTCTTGAACTGGAAGTCCTGCCACTGCCTCCTGAGTAGTGGGATTATTAGTGTGTGCCACCCCTCAGTCTTGAGTTCCCAAGTGGGGTTGCTTCCGGGGAGCATAGCCTCTAGGCAGTGGAAGCATTCATCAAGGTAGTGTAGTGCTTCCTCCTTCTGGGTACCCATTTGCATTCCATTCCTGTAATGTGTAGTCTGTGTGTGTGTTGACAGATAATGTCCTTATTTGCAAAGTACGGCATAACTTGAATCATGCCTACAGTGTGTAATGTTCCCGTTTCTTCAAATCAACTCCTGCTCTTTCCTTCCCTCCTATACTATCAGGCTTCCCTTTCCATCCTCTGGTTCTGTATTCACTGTTCATATATCTTTTCCAGAATTCTTTCTTTGCACAGGGTTTTGATTCTGTTCTCCATATATTATGGACTCAAGACTCAAATGCCTTCAAATTCTGCTTGCTCTTCTTTTTTTCTTGTCTTTTATTCCTGACTGTGTTATAAGCTCTTGTATGGCACACTCTTCCAGTACTGTCTATCCATATCTTCCATCGGGTTGAAGAGGGGCGTGTGCGCGCACTCTTTGTTTTCCAGAAGCAGTATTGTCCAAACTAGTTGTTCTGTGTTCTGTTTGGGGAATAAAAAACAATTGATTTCATATCTATTAGCTTTTAATTTGTATAATCATTTAATTTGATGAAAGTTTTTCACTATTTGCAAGTCTTTTCTGTTTCTTTTAAGATTTCCAGAAGTACTGGCTAGGTGTAGTGGTGCACGCCTTTAAATACAGCACTTGGGAGGCAGAGGCAGGCAGATCTCCTGATATTGAGGCCAGCCTGGTGTACAGAGTGAGCTAGGCTACAGAGAAACCCTGTCTCAAAGAACCAGAAAATAAAACTTAATAATCCAGAAGTACTATCATGCCTCTACAAGCAGTGGTACATTTACCTCCATAAATCAGCCTGAATCCTCTGTCTGTCATTTCTTTGCTTGCTAATAGCTTTGGTTACCTCTGTATTGTTGCTCACTTCTATTTATATGTGCACTTTGTAAGTGCTCTATTGTAGTTAATCCTTTCAGTCAGTTATATTTCTCAACTTGAAATTATAGATAGTGTCACCCTGAACATGATTGACAAAAAAAGGTAATTCAGAAATTATGATGGCGAATATTGTTAATTCGTGGATATTAAAATACATGCTTTCATTCTTCTAAATTGTCTTCTATGCTGATTTGTTACATGTTAGTTACTGTGATTTATAGTTCTGTTGGCTGAATGCCAGAGTGCTGTAATAACTACTGGTAACCGTTCTCATAAGGAAGGATAGAAATTGCAGGTGGATACTGACATGAAATGGAATTTCTAATGAAGAACTTGCACTATATTTGCCAATATCATTTTTAGTAGGGAACTCTTGTCTTGTTGTAACAGGTAGATTCTGAAACTTTGGGAAATTATTTTAAACTATTTCTGTGGTTACAGACATAGATGGGAAAATATTGTCAGCTAGATTTTTTGTTTTTTTTAATAAGTGGTTTTTGAGACAGGATCTTGCTATATGACCCTGGCCAGCCTGGAATTTACTTTGTAGATCAAACTGACCTCAGATATGGAGTTATACTCCTGCTCTGCCTACTGTATCCTGGGATTACGGTTGTGTGTTTAACCACGGGCCCTTAACTGTGATTATTTTCCCTTGATTAGACAGAATTGTAATTCAGCACCCTTGTGTGTGACAACTTGACAGAGTATTCTCTACTCATTCATGCTGTTTATAATTTAGTGTTGTATTGATTAACAGGCATATCAAGGTACATCGTTGTCTTAAGAAGCACCCATGTGGGAATTCCACCCTGTCCTTTAATATTCTATGAATATGTGAGTGACTAGATGCTGTGTTCCATCAGTGTCCATGTGGGAACTAACTGATGCTCACTGTTGAGCATGTTCTAGTACCATTGTATTTGAATAATTCTAGTAAGTCTCAGCTTACTTCACATTAAAATAGTTTCATGAAATTGAAGCCCTGATATTCTGCAGTGTAAATTCTGTCACTTCCCTCTTCACACTCCTTGGATTGTCTGTAGTGGTGTATATTTAGTCCTACGAACTCAGTTTTTGTTTTAATTACCAAGGGTCCAGACCTTCCCCTTAGCTTAGTTGCATCCCCTCCCACATAAAACAAGTCATCACTGACGCTGCTGAAATGGCAACATATCCTCTTTCTTGTCCTTCATATGAGCTAGACATTGGAGTGGATTGGATCTACATTCAAATCTTATCTGTTAATCTGTGTTTTTACTTGTAATTCTTTTGGCCTTTTAAGTTAGTTTGCTCCTCTGTGGTATGAGGATGAAGTAGGCTGATGCTCAGGAAAACATTTAGATTAGTGTCTACCATGAGATAGGGGGCAGAATTACCACCAGAAATATTGCTGGTAATAAACAGTAAACTAGTAAACTAATGCATTCCTCTCAGGAGACTTAGAAACTAGATGTAGGGGAAACTATGTGTATGCAGCCCATATTATTTGCTAAATAGTATTTATTCTAAGCTTTTTTTTTTTCTTGTTTTGAAAGGGCTATAGAGTTTTAAGGTTTCTCCATGTATTTGAAATTTCTGATGTACTCCAGTATTGATACAGTAGAAGCTGGGATATAGCAGTTAGGGGGTGCTTGGTTGAGAATTTTCAGTTGGCTTGGGTTTGAATCCTGGTTCTGCTATTGACTTTGTACATGTGTCTTTGGTTGAATGACATAAACTCTGTGTGCCTAGGTCCTGACTTGTATGGTTAGCACCTAGCCTCCCTGCCTGCTGGTAAGGTGCTCAGAAACTGATGCCATCATTGTGTTGAGGCTCTTTAGAAGTGCAAAGTGCTCTCCAGGGACAAGGGTTCCTTTCTCAGTTTAAACTCAGTTTTTTGTTCACCTTGTTTTCTGAAAACAAAGCCTTGATGTCCTAAGAGATACTTGATACTTGATACAAGATAATTGATTCATGATAGCTCTATGGCCAAAGGGATTTTGGTAACTTTGTCTCCCTGCCCCCCCAATTGTGAAGGTTTTTAGATATTCCCCCAATAGCAAACAGTTCCTGGACAAGTGTGACTTGTAGTTCTAGATTGTCTGTTCCATCCCTGCTCAAATCAGCCACCTCCATTAAACCTGTGACTAACTTCACCTGGTTTTAATTAATTTGCATTTCATCTGCATTTATGCATGTGGTTCTCAGTATAATTTCTGTTTGAGTGTTTTGTAAATCATTTTTATGCTTTTACATGTGACTCGGTTTTGTTTTCTCAGCTGGCTTGGAATATTTCAAAGGGTAAAAACACTGGTTCTCCCTCCTAGAGCATCTGTGGGAGAGATACTTTGTTCAGGTGGTGTCCATGGACTGTGGATGAGTAACTTGCACTTGGACACACATCTGCAGCAGCTTCCAGCTATTTAGTGTATGTCTAGAGTTATAGACAGGCATCAAAAGAGGAAGTTTTTGTTCTGTTTTGTTTTTTTAAGATTTGGTGTGTTGTCACCGTGTATTTTAACACAGTCTCAACCTTTTTTTCCTCCAAGAAATCTTGCTATTTATATTTGGCTGAAGGAATTTATTAGATCTTTATTAATTTGAATTTTATTTTATTTGTTTGGTTGGTTTTGTTTTTTCGTGGCAGGGTTTCTCTGTAGCTTTGGAGGCTGTCCTGGAACTCACTCTGTAAACCAGACTGGCCTCAAACTCACAGAGATCTGCCTGCCTCTAACCCCCAAGTGCTGGGATTAAAGGAATATGCCGTCACTGTCCAGTCTATTAAATTGAATTTTAGTATCATAATATTGGAAATTGTGTCATTTTGACAGTAATAAACAGCTTTAAGAGACTAAGAGAAAAAGAGTTATTCAAGAGTCTCAGTTCTGGTAGTTTTCGTTATTTCATTAAATTAGTTTGTTAAATCTCTGGTGATTCTTAATATAGGGTTAGGTTGTGACTTTGATAAGGAGGAGCTTGTTGCTGATTCATTTGGAAATGACCATATTAAAAAGAAACTCCTTTGCATTTGTTTTAATTGGAGCTTTCCTTAAAACAAAACAAGATTTTTTTCTTTGTACTTAAAATTAATGTTTCTTCCACTTGAGTGTGTGCATTTTATTTTCAGAATTTTTTTCCCTCTAAAACCAATGTGCTCTCCACTAAGACCCTGCTTTTCATCTTCCCCAGGAATGTCACTGTCTGCTGGATCCTCCCCTCTCCATTCCCCCAAAATTACTCCACACACCTCTCCTGCTCCTAGAAGAAGAAGCCACACTCCAAACCCAGCGAGTTTCATGGTGCCGCCTAGTGCCTCCACTCCTGCCAATAACCCTGTTCCTCAGACTCCATCCTCTGGTCAGGTGATCCAGAAGGAGACTGTTGGGGGGACGACTTACTTCTATACAGATACAACTCCAGCACCTGTGACTGGAATGGTATGGCTCCCATTAAAGAGGAAATCAGCGCTCTTAGGAAATCTGCTCCTCATAAGAAGGGCACCCTCACATGGGAAGGTTTATAGGGACATAAAAAAGTATTTTACTTTTTAACTTATTCTCATGTCTTAAGATTGGTATGATTCTTCCTTTCTAATTTCATTCAGAAATCAGATTGTAGTTGTAATTTGTTTTAGTATGTTGGGGCTTGTTTTCACCACAGGGTTATCTAGTTATCACCTAGGCTAACTCTTGCTTCTAGTTACTGGAGAGGTAGGTTTACCTCTGGGAAGAAGTTGAAGGAAGTAGTTTGTCTCTCAGTTATTGAAAGCAAACTGATGAGTCACTCTTGCCTCAGATAAAGCAGTGATGTAAAGGCCAGAGTTCCAGATAGCATATTGGCATGCTGTGATAGAGGCTGATAGTGTGGTCCTTGTGGAGGAGAGTAAAATCGAAAGAGGAAGAAGTGTAGAGTTAGACAGATGGGCATACAAAGAGCAAGAGAGGAGGAGCATGCCCAGAAGAAATGATTCCTTTTTAGGGAGAAATACCAATGTCAGGAGAAGGCTGAAAGGACAAGCAGCGTGGTGGACAGCACCCACTGTATTGCATACACCTTCTCCCTTTCAGTCTCACTAGTCGGTCTACATTAAAGATTTTTTTTTTAACTAAAGAAATTAGTAAATGGCTCTTGAGTAAGAAAGGCAAATTCCACTTAAACTATAGGCATTGGACTAGGTTTCCATAGCACAGCTTGATTGTCCGAGTAGGGTAAATTTCAGATTTTGACAAAAGATCTCTTCAGTGGCAGGAAAACAGCTTTCTTTGTCCTTGGAGGAAAGCTTAGTCCTGCTGTGTTTTTACACTCAAGTCTTTGTACTTTTGAGGTGGTTTTCTTATTTGTAAAATGAAAACAGTAGTACCCACTGTCTTCTAGAAATGTGAAAACTTGTAAGTCCTATTAAAGAGCTATTTTGCTTTCTCAGTGCACCTGAAATTTTATAGCTGAATAAAATGTTGTTCTTCTGATACTTTTTTAAAATTATTTTTAAAATAAATTTTAAAATTATTGAAAAAGATTTATGAAATTCATTCAAAAAGTATTCTTCTAAGAGTTGTTGTCTGAAGTGTTTAATTCAGTGTTATTAAAACATTGTAAACATCCCAAAATGTATTACTATCAGATAAAAATTAAACTTTTATAAAATTGATAAGGTTTACTGAGAAAAATTGATTGTATTTTCCTTCTTGCTTTTTCTTTAGGTATTTCCAAACTATCATATTTATCCTCCAACTGCACCTCATGTTGCTTATATGCAACCAAAAGCAAATGCACCTTCCTTCTTCATGGCCGATGAACTCCGACAGGTATGCTTTCCAAAGCCAGGACAGACGCTGACCATTGGCTGTGTTTTAGAGCAGGAGGAAGAATGTGCAGACCACTGTGTCTAGTCTCACAATGTCACCTAGGCAAGGAGATTTAGAACATGCAAGTTTTGTGCATGTTTAAGAAAACCTTTTAAAGGAAGTCTTAAATAATATATTAGAGAACAAAATATAGAGTTATTATTTCAATGTACTTCCTTTCTGTGCTTTATATTCTTTTGGTTTCTCTGTGAAATAGTCCTGGCTGTCCTGAAACTCACTCTGTAGGTCAGGCCAGCCTCAAACTCACAGAGATCCTCCTGCTTCTGCTTCCCAAGTGCTAGGATTAAAGGCGTTCACCACCAATGCCTGGCTGCTTGTGCTTTTTGTACAAAAGGGACTCTTTACATGGGTTTGTTTGTTTGTGTGTGTGTTCTTGTTTGTATGCATGCTCACTGTGTCAAGGAGAACATCTGGAAGTTAGAGGACAACTTGTGGGAGTTGGTTCTCTCCTTCCACCATGTGGGTTCTGGGTACCAAACTTGGATTAATCAGGCTTGGAACAAGTGCCTTTCCTCACTGAGCCATCCCACATGGAAAGGGCTCTTTAACTAAAGCACACATAATTTAAATGGTTTCTAACTTTTAAATTGTTGGTCATATTTTGATACAGTAAGCTTCATTTTAAGTGACCCAACAAAAATTTTAAAGTATGTTTTATAAAATTTTTTTACTGTGTTTTATTTGTTGTGAACAACTTGGATATTCTTGATATTTATAGCTTCTTACATGTACATTCTCAAAAATGTTTGTTTTACAGAAGGTTCTTTTAGTATATACCTGCGTGTGCTGGAGTGTAGATGTGCACATTATTTTTGCAATGCTGACGATAGAACCCAGGCCCTTGTGCATGCTAGGCAAACCCTGAGCTACGCCTCCAGTTTCTGTATTCTGATTTTCGAATGGATTACTGACTAACTTAATAGATCTTATATATATATATACACACACACACACACCCACACCCACACACCCACACACACACACACACACACACACACACACACCCACCCACCCCATATATCTCTGGAAGTGTTATATATAAAAGTAATAAAAAATGATTTAGTTATAATGGAAAGTCTAGATATGAGAAACTCTGTTTAGAGTCTGTTATTAACATACTTGTTTCTTGTTCTTAGGAATTGATCAACAGACATTTAATAACGATGGCTCAAATTGATCAAGCGGATATGCCAGGTAAATGAATGTTGACACTCTCCCCTACCTCTGGGAGAGGCAGGCAGATCTCTGTGTTCAAGGCCAGCCTGGTCTACAGAGAGAGTTCCAGGATAGTCAAGACTGTTTCATAGAGAAACCCTGTCTCAGAGGGGGGAAAAAAAAAAAAAGGAAGATGGGTGGTGGGTAAAATGGAAGCCATATCAAGAAAAAAATTACTAGATTAACAACTTATGCCTAAGAACTTTTAAAGTTCCTACTGTCTTTGGTTTTTCGAGATAGGGTTTCTCTGTATTGTTTTGGAGCCTGTCCTAGAACTCACTTTGTAGACCAGGCTGGCCTTGAACTCACAGAGATCGCCTGCCTCTGCCTCCTGAGTGCTGGGACTAAAGGCTTGCACCACCAGTAAGTAGATAAAGCCTTTTATGCAAGACACAAAGGAGCTTGTTTTTCTTGTCAAGAAATACTGAACTATGAATTTAGGTCAGCAGAAAATATTTGCCTGCAAAGTGCAAGGCTCTTGGGTTCACTTGCCAGCAGTGGAGGCTAAAATCACAAAAACAAAACACTGATAAATAAGTTCTACTAAAGTAAAACTTAAGAATGACCAAAAGATACCTGCTGTTAAAGAGGAACTAAAACTTGGAAGGAGGTGTTTGCAGTCTGTACAATTGACAAATGATAGGAAGAAAAAAAAAAAAGACTTGATCAAACAGCTCGTGGGAAAAATGACCAAAGATGAATGTGGGCATTTTTATGGACAATCCTTATAGCCAATAAATATGTCAAGAGAAGGAAATAAGGAAATGATCTGACGGTTTACCAACTTAACTGTGGTAGGCTATAAATCTGTGTGTTCTCAATGTTGATGATAATTTAAATGGTTGGACTGCAACTACTTTGGAAAACTCAAGCTGAATATCTATACCACTTACCTAGCATTTCTGATTCTAGATCAAGGCAAACTTTGGTCACTTCAAGAAAGCACTTGTAAAACAAGCCAGCAGCTAATAAAGAATAGGGGCAAGTCTAAATTTTTTTTGTCTAAAGGTTGGACAAGACAAGGATTCTACTTTTAACCTCCTCCATTCAGATCTGTACTTCAAGCCTTAGCCACAGCAGTCAGGCAAGAGAAAGAAATAAAGGCAACCAGTTAGACCGCAGATGGTATACCATAAAAAATCACAAGACTATACCAGCAAAATTCTGGAGCAATACTCAAAGTCAGCAAAGATGTAGGATACAAAAATCAACATTTAGATACAGCTTTATCAAAATAGCTGATAAACGACAAATAAGCATACACCAGTTAAAGAGTAAAATTAACCAGAGTTGACCAAAGAGTCGAAATATCTGTGATGGAATCACTGAAGAATTTGAAGGGGACACAGTGGAAGAGTTTCCTTCACTTGTGGAAAGACAGCGTTGTTAAAATGTCCACACTGAGATACAATGAGTAAATGATTATAACTGAAACAACCAAAAACAAGAGTCCACACTATCCAAGGAGTTAAGGTTCATGTGGTTTCTGTCAAATAAAGACATCAGCAGAGCCACCACTGCACAGGACAGACTATTCCTTTCTAAAGATTTGTTTCTTAGTGTTATCAATTACCTGTGGTTTGCAGAGCTGTAAAACACCAAAGTAATAATGTGTGATCCTTTAGGTAAAGCACAAGTGTGTTTTGTTTTGTTTTGTTTTGTTTTATGCCCAAGTCACCCTTGGCTCTGGGACACTGAACCCAGAGCATCATGTATGCTTCTTGTGACCTAGCTGCATACCCAGTCTTGAATCTGTATTCTGGTGCTTAATCCCAGATGGCATTTTGACTCAAGAATAAAACAAGTACTGGGGCTGGAGAGGTTAAGAGCACTAGCTGGTCTTCCAGAGGTCCGAGTTCAATTCCCAGCAACCACATGGTGGCTCACAACCATATGTAACGAGATCTGGTGCCCTCTTCTGGCCTGCAGGGATACATGCAGACAGAACACTGTATATACAATAAAGAAATAATAAATCTTTGGAGGAAAAAACAAACAAAAAACTACTTTCAAACCTACATTAAGTGGTGTGTTCTATAATAAAGGAGCATGTAGGACAGACACTATTTTTTTCATTTGAATAATTTATGTAATTTCCATAAAGAATCAAAAGATAGAGAAGATTTCCCCCCAGCTGTCTTGATCAGGACTTAATTTAAATAATGTATGTAAAATCTATAAACATACTGAGTACTTTTACAGATTAGTGGTATTGTATTAATGGAATTAGCTCTTATTCTGGTGAAGTTAGAGCAAAGGAAATAATGCACATTTATTTAAGACATATACAGAATAGCTATTTCAAAAAGCAGAGTTTGTCATAGCCCTGATTCTTAGACTCTAAAGCCCAAGAGAGTCACGAGGACAGTTGAATTTGCTAGTATCTAATACAGGGAAGGGGCCATGCCTGAGGATAGTAGGAAATGTCTTAGAAAAAGTAGCCATTTGTTACTTGAAAGTTAAGACTGCTCAGAGTGGGCTAAACTAGGTGGAAGGGAGAGTGCCTTTGAGGGACTAAAATAAGGCTGCACGAGTGCACTGTGCTTAGGGCTGGGCAGACCCCACCACAGAGGCACTGAGTGGTACTGCAGTTCCAGCAGGATCATGAGGACGCTTCAGTGCAACAAAGGGGGCTTGAAATTCATGAAGTCCAACAGTGATGTATCATAGGTGCAAAGGGGTGAAGGGGAAGGATGGACCTAAACATCCTGAATTTATAACCTTTTAGTTCAGTGACTATTTTCAGTCATGCACAGGCACTGCACACAAATCCAAAATGTACAGCTTCTAAAGTTAGATAGTATATGCTGTGGAAATCCCAGTGTTCTTTTACCTTGTATATTTGCTTGATATTAAAACCATGGTAGACATCAAAAGGTTGTTGCGAATAGCTGGTTTGCCTCTTGTGCCTTCACCTAACTATTTTCACTGTCAACACTTTGTCAACTGCACCTCTTAGTTATTGGGGCATGCATAGTTTAGTTTCCTTCAGTTGTACTTATTTGAGCCAGAGATTGTTTTTTAAGAGTTTAATGCCATCTGTCATGTTTATAGGTACTCGCATAGATATGCTTGCATACATGTACACTGATGAACACACTTCCTGATTTATTCCAAATTTCTTTGTTATAAAGATAATAAAAAAGTCTCTTTTCATTAATATTAGAATAAAAATGTTATTCCAGGATTGACTCATTTCTGGTAATTATTTCTAAGAACAAAAATCCCATCTTTTGCTGCCAAGAGACTGTAAATAACTGAGTGTGTGAACTTGAGTTGTGCTTTGCTACTCTGAACTTGGTTTATTGGTACTGAAGCCATAGTTTGTTTTATAGACGTGTTAGAAATCCAACAACTGTCTCATGACACAGATCTGTTAGGATTTGTCAGTGGATGGTGATAGATTTGATTTCTTTTATTACTTTGAGATATTTATGAATGCTTGTCATTGAAAATTGTCTTTCTGTGACTTACTCAGCAGTCCCCACAGAAGTTGACAGCTACCATAGCCTCTTCCCTCTAGAACCACTGCCACCCCCCAACCGGATACAAAAATCAAGTAATTTTGGGTATATCACATCTTGCTACAAAGCTGTAAATAGCAAAGATGATCTGCCATATTGCCTTCGGAGGATACACGGTAAGGAAGATTGGTTTCTTTTGTCAGGACTGTATTACTCGAGTGAAGATTATCCGTATGCTGCTATAAACAGTGCTGTATTTATCATACACGTTTGAAGAAGAAGGTTTCCTTTTTCTTATTTTTTATCTCCATTTGGAGATTGATACCTTATAGGCAACATTGACCATTTTTAGAAATTCATATTTCTCATGAGCTGTTATTTGCAGTTGGTAATAGCAGAAAATTTTCTTCTTTAGGTTTTCGTCTTGTTAACACAAAGTGCATGGTGTTGGTTGATATGTGGAAAAAAATTCAACACTCAAATATTGTAACTCTGCGTGAAGTGTTTACCACTAAAGCGTTTGCTGAGCCCTGTAAGTAACTGGTCCTGTGGAGGTTGTACTCCTGAGTTTCACTGTCTGGGGCCCGACTTCATTGATGTGTGTTTCTGTTTTCTTGCAAGCTCTTGTGTTCGCATATGATTTCCATGCTGGAGGAGAAACTATGATGAGCAGACACTTTAATGACCCTAATGCAGATGGCTACTTCACAAAGAGAAAGTGGGGTAAGAGAGATGGAACAGACTATGCTTTTGTTCTGGGGAACTGTAGTTTTGTATTAAAATATATACTGATGGGGGCTGGAGAGATGGCTCAGTGGTTTAGAGCACTGGCTGCTCTTCCAGAGGACCTGGGTTCAATTCCCAGCACCCACATGGCAGCTCACACAGACATACATGCGGGAAAAACACCAACACCCATAAAAATAAATAAACCTTTAAAAAAAATATAGATAGATAGATAGATAGATTGATTGATTTTTGTATTTTAAGGGCTAGATAGATAGATAGATAGATAGACAGACAGACAGACAGACAGACAGATAGATTTTTGTATTTTAAGGGCCCTACTGTCCCTTCACAGCATCTCAAAGAATTGAGGTTGGTTTGCAGCAACTTAGGAGAGTTTGTGTATTGACTCAGATTTTATGTCAGTATCTTTGATTTACTTTGGATAGTTCCCAATTGTTGTACCCTATAAGCATAATTTGATAGTCTCAACATCTATAAACATATGCTTTTGTTTGTTACATGTCAAGTTAGGTCCTTTAAAGTGCCATTACGTAAAATGGAGTGTTTTTTTGTTTGTTTGTTTGTTTGTTTGTTTGTTTGTTTCTATTCCTTTTCTAAATGTAAAATCATTTTATAATTCAACTATTTAAAAAAAAAATTTAAAAATTTATAATTATACTGGAAAATGTGCTTATTTATTGGGAAAATGAACCAGAGAAAATGTAGATCCATATTTTGTGTATAGTCTCATTGTTTGGTGTTTGGAATGAAGCACCACACTGGCAGCTATGGTTTTTATCTGAAGGTTTTCTTGAACACAGAAAACAATACTTGGGTTTGCTCCTAACCCAGATCCCTGCATCCTGACAGTTGAAAGAAGAAAGATGTGGTTACATAGTTGTTCCACATCGAAGCCCTGGTCAGTCAGTTGGTCTTACATGTGGTCACTTCTCCTGTTGTGTGAGCTTTACACATCCACAATTTTGTGGAGGATGTGATGCAACTTTCCCATCTTGGTAACAACACCTTTGATATGGCTGTTGGCTTTGATTTATAGCTGACTTAACCTGAGCACTGTTGCCATTAGGGCTGCATCATTTGTTTTGTGGTGGCTATTCTATATTTGCAGGTTGTTGGACAGGGGTACATGCCAACTGGATACCCCTCTACCTCAGCTCTGATACTAGAGAGATCCGCAGACATTGCCAGTGTTCCCTGTTGAGAACTACTCAGAGTATTTTACCACTGTATTTTGTTCTTGTATCAAAAACACGTATTTCAATGTTTACGTTTTCTGAGTCAGTCCTTCCATTTTACACTTTGTCCCCCTTCCAAGACTGTATTTCTCTGTGTAACAGCCCTGGCTGTTCTGGAATTCACTCTGTAGACCAGGCTGACCTCGAACGCACAGAGGTTCACCTTCCTCTGCCTCCCGAGTACTGGGATTAAAGGCGTGTGTCACCACCACCCATCCCATTTTATACTCTTAGAACCTCCCATAATATACCATACACACTTGAATGTCTATTATTTCTCTTACTACATAATTATTTAGCAACAACTTCTTTTTAAAAAGCATATTTGTTAGAAGTGCATTATTTAGAAGTTGGGATGAGTGAGATAGAGAAACTGCATTCATTTAGCAATTATAGAGATTAAAATCAAGTGAAATGAATGTTACAGTTAGAATCAAATCTGATAGGAAGTAAGTCCTATGGGTTTGCTGTAAGTCCTCACTTCTATAATCCTAGCACTTAGGAAGCTGAGACAGGAGGCTTGCCACAAGTTGGAGGGCTACAAAGTAAGATTCTGGTCTCCCAAACAAAACAATATCTGGGTGTAGTGGATCATTTCTTTAGTCTCAGTACTTAGAGCAGATGCAAGTGTATCTCTGTGTTCAAGGCCAACTCAGTCTACCTAGTGAATTCCAGGACAGCCAGAGGTACATATGGATACCTTGTTTTGAAACAAAAAAACAACAAAACAGAATGACCAGTACTCCTTTTCCTTATGACCATATCAGTTGCATAGTTTTGTTTAAGGTTCTTTTTATGGGGCTGGAGAGATGGCTCAGTGGTTAGGAGCATTGGCTGCTCTTCCAGAGGTACTGAGTTCCCAGCAACCACATGGTGGCTCATAACCATCTGTAATAGGATCTGATGCCTTCTTCTGACACGGTGTAGCGACCGCCTCAACCAGCAAGGAAGATGCAACGCTGAGACTCTTTATTAAGCAGTTTACTGAAACAATCTTCTGACCCCGGGGAAAGGCCCCCCACAGCTTAAAAGCACTCTTGCCAGCCAACCCCAGACCGCCACGTGGCTAAAGTGGATAGGCTCACATTTGCTGATGCAAGTTTGAATCTTAGACCAAGCCAAATAAGGAGTTGTTTATTCCAGAGAGTGCTCACCCTCGGGATGGTGGAAGGCGGAAACCGGTGCCATCTTCTGGCGCGGCGCATCGCAGCTCTCCACAGTTCCCCCTTCTTTATTAAAAAACAGAGCGGGTAAAGATAGAGGCCCGATCCCCGGTGTGCAAACATGGGATAATGTATTGGTGACACCCACAAACTCTATGCCTGCCATGACCCAAACCCATCCCATACCTATTTTCTCAGGGGAAGGATCTTGGGTACAACCTTCATGCAATCGGGCTTGTCTTCCGAGGGCAGCCTAGCC